GGGGTTGCAGGTTCAATCCCCTGACCTGGTCAGGGTTGTGCAGGAGCCAACCAATTGATGTCTCTCTCACATTGATATTTCTCTCTCTCTTTCTCCTTCCTTCCCCCCTTCCATTCTAAAGAATCAGTGGAGGAATATCCTCGGGTGAGGATTAACAGGAAGGAAAAAGAAAAAGAAAAAGAAACAAAACACACTCTTGGCTTCTTGATCTTCCCAATATAACTTCCAAATTTAAAACAACCTGAGAAACGCCCCATACTGAGCAGAAATAATTACCTCTACATTATTTCTAGTAATACATTATTAAGAGTTGAAACACAACATTAAACAGGATATAATCCTGCTTTTACAAGGGTTTATAGATTTGCAAAGAAAACAAGAAACCGGACAACTACATTATGGGTGTGGAAAATGTTATAACTTTCACCACAGTTACTTTCTGGGCTGGGGTCCCAAAGACAAGTAGCTAAAGTGCAGGACACCTGCCAGCCTCCCCTGGAAGCAGCATCCACCTCTCGAATGCTGTTCTACCCTGTGCCCAACACAAGGAATGCCCATCAGTGTCCTGGCAGTGAACAACAAACATGTGTTATCTCTTCAACCACAAGCAAAACAAGTTAGGTGTCGGTACTGTCTTAACAGGATTGCCTGTTAAGAGAGTATTTAATTATTGGTATAGAATTTTAGGATATTCAAATACAGAGGCACCCTCTCTAATTCCTAATGTGCCTATTTAGAAGAGTATTAAAGTTATCAGGCCTGGTTCCAACTCAGTCCATGTCTCAGAAAAATTGTTCCCCTATCAAAGACTCAAAGAAGTAGTGACAACTGAGCTATGCCTCAGAAAAGAGCAAGCTAGCCTTCTTGAGTGTGATAACTGACTGGCATGACAGTTAACAAAACTTTGGAGCTGAAGCTTAGAAGCTGTTAATAGTGGTGAAAATTTTAATAAACGTTTATTCTTATGTTTATGTATTAATTCATTTGATAGATATTTATGGAGAGAAAACTATGTGTCAGGAAATGTGCTAGGACATGGGGAGATAATCATGAGTAAGATATAACCTCTACTCTCAAAGGGCTTATCATTTAGAAACTCAAGTAACCAGTAATTAGAATAGAATGTTTCATGTGCACAGGACACCATGGAAACATAGGAGGGATAGTTAACCCAGGCCCGAGGGATCACAGAAAGGTGCTCAGTCAAGGCCACTTGTACACACAGTCTTGAAGGAATTGGAAAGGATATAGGGACCCTACCTTGCATTTGCCCTTGGTTAATGCAGCCTTTTGTTGCAAACCCCTGTGCATTCACTGCATTCATTTGGTACTGCAGAGGCCTGGTAATCCCCTTCTGAGATACATGGCGGTGTGATGCAGAGACACAAAACAGAGCTGGAGACTGTCTCACATGTGTGATGCAGTCTTGCTGAATGAACACTAGTTCTGGTTGATGTGCTTGAAGACTAGATAAAGATATGCCAATGCTTCCTTCATGCAAACCTATTAATGAGGATAGTCTTCATGAAGACCAGAAACCTTTCCTCTAAACTTCTGAGACACAAAAGTCTTTGTTTCACTCCTGTAAATCTGTATCTGTATATCTATGTGTGCCTGATTGAATGAGCCTGAAACAACAAAAAATAAAATTACTTATCAACAACTTTACTGATTGGTTCTGGAATGGAGAGGTGTTGGAATGGAGATTCTGCGTGTTTTTCTATAGGAGGATTTTAATGTTGTTTTTTTTATGTTTTAATTGGTTTTTAATCACAGCTTAAAAATCAGACATGAACACATTTAAAAATACCTCACTAGCCCTGGCCAGTTTGGCTCAGTGGTTACAGCGTCGGCCTGCGGTCCGGAGAGACCCGGGTTCGGTTCCCGCTAAGGGCACGTACTTCGGTTGCAGTTTGTCCCCGGCCCTGGTTGGTCGTGCGGGTGGCAGCCACTCGATGTGTCCCTTCACGTCGATGTTTCTCTCTCTCTCTCTCTTCCTCTCTCTCCCTCCCACTCTATCTGTACAAAAAAATGGAAAAATATCCTCGGGTGAGGATAAAAAAAAACAAAAAAAAAACAAAAAACAAAAAAAAATACCTCACTACATAGCTGTCATTGTTCCCAGCACAAAACTTCTTTTCTGCAACCTACTGAGTCAATATATTTATGAACATGTTCTTTTTGTGATCGACCCTTAAATTGTTGAGACTAAACATTCATCGAATTTTTTCAAAGTGGATGCCTATCGAAGAGTTTACTTGGGTTATCCTCAAGGGAACAGCATTGGTGTAAAAGCAAGCTCCATATTACACTGTGAACATTTCAGAACTTAGACATTCTTTTTTGTAATAAAAAGAATACAATAAAGATGGAGGCTAGAAATGCCAAATTTTAATTTTCTGATGAGACCCAGAAGAATATGATATATTTCCCACGCCTGGGAAATTTTATCTTACAAAAGACAGATAATGAAAAAGAAATACTACGTTAACTCAGAGACCAGGTGCAACAATGGATTGAAAATTATGCTCATGTATTATTGTCATGATCCCCCCTTGCTGTGGGTGTCAGAAGCATGTAGCATATGGAAGCTGCAACATCATCAGTAAAAGAATCTTAAAAATAAGTGAGCAGATATTACACAGCCATCAGTTTCTTCTCTCAAACATGCCACCTGCACTGACATAACTCCATTTATGAGTCTAACACGTGAACAGAGTGGCTGCCTTAAATTTCCAAAGCACATTCTGTTCTTCAAATCTTGGAATTATGGCCTCTTTAAAAAAGAATCATAAAAATACATGAAAATATTTGCAAGGGCTACATAAAAAATGTGAAAGATTAAAAACAAACAAACAAACAAAAAAAACCAGGCTCACTCTACATGACTGAGCCAAAGTCCTTGACATCAGGGCAACCAGTTTAGTATGAAAAAATCTTGTCTTGGGAAACACACATCCAAAGCAGGCTTTTATGACATGAAACAACAGTATTGACAATTTAATCTGAAATGAATTGAACCAGAAAGAATGGCAGAAGCAATATGCTAAAGTAGAATCGTGATTGGGTTGTTTTAGCAGCTTAGCCTATTCACACTACTTACTGTAAACCACTTTGGTCCAGGGAATCAGAGAACAAAAATTCTAGTAAATATGCTGCTAATTGCAGCATTAGGAGGGACACTTCACCTCTAATATGAAGATGATACTTGTCCTTTGTGCATTATAAAGGACAGGACTTGAAAGATGCAACCAAGGATTTCTTGCAAGCACTTGAGAAAATTCAAAGCTCTTCTGGAAGGGAAATAGCAACTTTACCTACAAACGCCCTGCTACCCAAGCCTCTACTGAAATGAGTTGGTCCTCTGAGTTGTCAAAAATTTAAATAAAGCTCTTAACTTTCATAACATAATGAGGACTCTACTTTCCTCATGTCTGATGTCTAATGCATATGATTTTCACATTAGCCAGTAGCATGGAATAGCTGCACCATGGGTAGTTGTTAGCGAGTTCAATAGTGAGTTGTCTGTGAGCCAGCACCTGCCAAGGGCTGGCTTGAGACACCTGATATTTGAAAAAGACAGTCTAATGGACCTGCCAAATACTCTTTCTCCTAGGTACTCCTAGGAGAGAAGCTTGGCACATTATAAGTTAGATCATCAAGAAGTAATGTACTTGAACCAAATTATCTCAGTTCTCCATAGAAATGCCTTTGCTGATTGATGATACAAAGTTTTGCCCTGAGTAAAACTAAGGGTCGATATGGAAACTGTCTCATCAGTGTTGCTGTAAAGCTGTAGCCAGGCGCTGTCCACTGTGCTTGCAAATATCAGTGTTGAAAAGGGCCACAGAAATTCACCTTACTTACCTTGATTCTAAGTTAAGGGTTGCTTCTCTTGGTAAATGTGCATGCTTTCTTTCGTCTGCAGTGAACTTTAGGTAGCTAAATAGGTTTCCTTTTAGATGTCAGGAAACTCAGAGCTAAATTCATACATCCCTTAAAAATTAACTACCTAGCCAGCCCGGTGTGGCTCAGTGAATTGAGCATCATCCCCTGGACGAAGAGGTCCTGGTTCGACTCCCAGTCAGGGCACATGCCCAGGTTGAGGGCTCATTCCCTAGTAGGGGGCATGCAGGAGGCAGTCCATCGATGTTTCTCTCTCACATCAATGTTTCTATCTCCCTTCCTCTCTCTCTGAAAAAATCAATAAAAACACATTTAAAAAAAAACTCACCTAGGTTTATGGCACTATTTTGAGTGAATTTATTTTTTTTAAGATAGCAATTTCTTCTGTTCCAGTCATCAACTAACCATTTTACATGATGTTTAACTAGGAAGCTGCTTTCTATCTTCTGCAAATTTTAGAGGCACACAGCTGAAAGTGTGTAGAAAAGGAAGCAAATTTACTGAACATTTACTTTGTACCAAGGAGTTCACATATACAACCTTAGGTGTTATTCAGTAACACCATCTTCTGTTTTAAAGATGTTCATCTATATCAAATAACAATCTATGCTACAAAGATCGTAAGAATAAGAGCTGATATTTGAATCCAGTATTTTCTGGTTTTGTCCAAGGCACATGCCTATCTATAATTCTACTATATATCTATTCAACATTTATTTATTTTTATGTTGTTGTTGTTTTTTTCTGCACAGGCTCATCATGTAATAGAAAAGACTTATTATTTCTTAAGGAGAATTCATACTGCCATTGATTATACATAGCCTTTCTCAGTACTCTTTCTTTTCTTTCCATTTAAGAAACTGGAATACATCGTGATGAGCATGATAAAGCCAAAGCAAAATTGCTGGCTCATCATCTAGGGTACAAATACACAGTTAATTGCTTGACACTTTATTGAATGCAAAGCAAGATTAGCATCATTGCCTTCCTGGTACAGAGCTAAAGCAGAAGCCCAGGTAGGGGGATAGCACAACTTGCCTTGGCAGGAAAGATGTGCCCCCACAGCCCCACAGTCCTGTCTTTCTGTGGGAAGACTAACCCATGTTCTGTCGGTTGCCGTAGGCCCTAGGATGAGTGTCCTTCCAGTCATCCCATTCCTGAGCTTGGTGGGGTGTTGAATCACAGTCCTCTTCCTCCTCTTCTTCCTGATCTTCCTGTTGCCAAGCTGTTGTTTTGACTTCTGATACTGTCTTGGCTGTTCCCTGATCTGGTAATGTTCCACATTTCTCTTGCTGATCATACCAGTCATTCACCGCCATCGATGCCAGACTTGGATAACTAGCTCCAAATACTTTGGCTTGGGCCACATTCCGAGTGAGAATGAAGGGTCTTCCTGCAGGCCTGTCCTGAAGAGCTGAGTGCAAAGTCGATGCCTCTTTTGAAGGGCCTTTTTCTCTCAGGATCTGTATCTCCTGGTCAATGCTCTCAATCTCCTCTAAGCTGATACTGATCCACCTTCGGAGGTGAAGGAGGTAGTACTCCCGGACATGCTCATCATCTACTTGACCACTTTCCACAGCAGATTTCATTGCAGACAACCTCTGCTCCACCTCCTTCTTCTGTTTGTATCTCTCTATTGTAGCCTGTCTGTGAGATGCCATGGAAACAAGGCTAGGGTAGGCCATGGAGGAACTAGCAGTGTTATTTTCAGCTGGGTTGTCCTTGGTTTGAGGCAACTCGAACTCTTCCACATGATAGAATTGGCACTGAGTTAAGTAGTATATAAAGTGTTCTCGAGCCCACTGCAAGTGGTCTAGGCGCTTGTCAGGGCTGACTTGTTTCATCATGAACGCTCCTTGGAGTGCAGGCACCATCAGGTACTTCAAGTCAGTGGAAGCGATCTCTTCCAAATCTTCATTTCTGCTGAACAAGTCGAGCTGTGATAACATTTTAGCTGCCTTCTCAAGGAGGTCTAGCCCCTTCAACACCTTCTTCTGGACCATGGGGGCAGTGGTGGGTTCAGCTGCTTCTTCCACTTCTTCCAGAAGTTGTTTGCTGGTTTCGAACAGCTGCGGGAGCCGGGGCAGCAGAGACTCCTCTTCTTTGGCTGCTGCCATCTTGGGGAAGGGATAAACATTAATTTTTATATTAAATTCATTTTGAGCTTGATGATTAATTAATTAAGTAAATGCCTATTCCCCTTTGCAGTATTGTTGTGCAGGTAAAATACAATTGAATATATGAATGGCACTTTGGAAGAATTTAGAAATGACATGCAAATGTGGTATTTTATTATCTATTATTTCCTTATATTGATCATTGCAAGAGTGGAATTACTGTATCTAATGGCTGTATGTGAGCATGTAATTATAAATCTTGAGTGCTCCACTATTCACTCTATTAGTACTCAACAATAATTTTTAATCAACTGGAAAACTAAAGAGGGCTTTGGTAAAAGCCCCTCAAATGTGAAATACTTTACTGTAGTTCATCAACATTCTAAATTAAACTTCAGTTCATAAAATTCTTACTCTGATGAAGAAATCCTGCTTCTGCCACACTTATAGCAGCTTCTTGCAAATGAAAATCCTACAGTGGTCCTTTGACCTGCAAACAGGTATTTCCAAGATAGACAGAGAAAGTATTCCTTTTCTGTGTCCTAAGGAACAGCCACAGCCCTTATAAAATGATCTACTGTCTCTAACACAGACAGGACCAGTCCCTTCACTCTTCATCCCAGCCCGAATCCTCAGCCAATATTAAAGTGCAGCCTCATCATGCTCGATCCTATTTCATTAATGTCTCTCTTTTCTCATTCCAGCTCTTTATCCTTCCAGAAAATGACTTTTGCTATTTCAACTCTTGATACTAATTATAGTTTTTCATTTTTTGTGTTAGCCCTAATTCCTTTATCTATTAAGAAAATATGTGAAAGTACACTGCATTAGAAACCATGAATATTTTTTCTAAGCATCAACTGCAAGTCTCATGCAATGAAAACATCACTGTATAAAAAATCCTGGTGCTGCTTCATTAGGAAGAAGGTAATACTACTTAGGATGTACATCTCTGCCCTGGGTGCTACTTAAAGCTTAATTCCTTTGGTAGAACATTTAGCAAATTATTTTATTTTTAACTTAATGAATTGCGATAGTTTCCTAGCTCAACCCCTGTTCATATTTTACCATCACTGATGGTTGAGGTATTTTCATTTTACTTTTATTTGTATTGCCAGAGATCACTGGCCATTGGCCAAATCAGATATCATACGGTGAGAAATTTCATGGATGCTCCTCATGCTGTATAAATTGTAAATACAAATAATGTAATAATAACACGTGGCCCGTAAACCAGGGTAGTAAACACAGTTCCAGGCAGTCACTGAGACTCCATCAGAGAAGTGGTAGAAAGAAAAGTTGGGTTTGCAAAGATGAGAAATGCCATCCCTTTCTGAGAGGAGCATCTCTGATCCGAAAGACCACCTGGGGAAAACTGCCTCCTGAGCAGGTGAGCAAGTCTGGGAAATTCCACAGCTCCCTTAAAGCCAATGCAAACACAGAAAACAGTAGCAGAAAAATAAAGAAGCATATGCGTATACTTGTCAAGTTCCATTGTCAGGAAGCAGAGCCTGAGGCAGAGATTTGGATGCAATCTGTAAGGGGGAGAAGGCAGCAGAATGGAGGAGAGAGAGCCAAGCAAGGGAGTGGTGTTAAGTGAAGTCTAGAACTGGTCTGATGTGTTGGGAATAGCAAGACCTCAGAACAAGAGTCAACGGGCTTTTTGTAAAGGGCCCAATAGTCTTTCTTGCAACTATTCACCTGTCATTGTAGCATGTAAACAACCATAGTCAATAACATAAATGAGACTGATTTGTTCCAATAAAATTTTATTTACAAAAAAAGTCAGGGAGACAGATTTGGACCAGGGACCATAGTTTGCTGACTGCTACTCTAGAGCATAAATCACACCACACAGCAGTGTGCCCCACCCCAGAGGCCAGGAATTCAGCCTTCTTTATCAATCAGTCATCACCTGCGGAGCTGGTGGGAGGCGGGGGGGGGGGGTACCTAGCCTCCAAGACAAGGTGGTTCTCAACAACCAGGACAAACTTCACTGTGAATCAGAATCATGTGGGCCCCACCCCTAGCATGTCTGATTCAGTAGTTCTGGAGTAGAGTCTGAGAATCTGCATTAATAGCAAGTTTCCAGGTGAAATTAATGCTATTTTTGGGGGGAACCACTCCTTTGATCACTGAGCTCAGATGATTCTCCAGAGGAGGGGCAGCTATGGGCACTTTGCAGCCAACCCAACTACTTGAGAGGCCTGATGTACTTGCTTGTAAAGAGTTTATCAGCAGGGCACCAGCAGTGTCCAGTGTAATACTTCAACAAGTTTGCAGTATGGAAAGATATAAATGTTTAAAAACATACCTCTGAATAAGGAAATGTTTATTCATGCCACATTCTGTTTTTGATGAGGCTGCTCTTCTTGAAATATTGCTGTCTAGCCTATTCTAATCCAACTATTTCTTAACACTGAGTTGTAGCCTTCTGAGTATCTTTACTTATTCATATTTGTTTTCTACCATGTGTTTATTGATGCATTCATTGGTGTTGGTTGGCATACTAATCTTTGTTAAATTCTAATCTACTTGAGAGCACAGACCATGTTTTCTCCTAATTTTATAACTATTCAGGGAAGAGAATTCCATCACTTCATAGCTGCTTTGAATCAATATTTCCCCAGGAAAAATGAAAATCACAGCATATAGAAAATAAGAGTTTTTAAATTTAGTTCCTCCCATAAATTCTACCTTGTTCTTTATCTATATTTCTGTTAGCATTATGTTCCCAGACTATTGACATTAAGAGCATAAACAGTGACTTTCACTAAATTTGTCCTCATATAATATGCCCCAAGTATTAATGCCTTCCCATGAGCATTCTAATTATGGCTCATAGATTCACTGCAGAGAGACCAAAGCAGAAAAAAGTCTTAATTTGTGCCTTATGAAGCCAGTTCTCTGAGCTGCCTACAGTTTGAGAGGAGAAAAACTACACTGTGTACCTAAATCTCAACTTATCTTTCTTACTATCCTCCAAGACAAAGCAGAGAAATATGGCTTGGGGTTGTGACTATTTAACTACTTAAAGCAGTTTCTAGAGTGAAATTTAGTCTACCTGCAGGGTAATGATTGATAGGCTTATTTTAACCTCAAGTGTTCAGATAATCACACACACACACACACACATACACACACACACACACACACATACACACACACACACACACATACACACACACACACACACACACACACACAGTAAGGCAGGAGCAAAGGAGTAAATAGCTAGTTAGGAGGCTGGCTCAATTAGCCAGAGCTGATGGGGAATTGAAGGGCTGACTAAAATAAGGAATATTTTATCATATAGATCAACACAATACAAGCTACCATGGCAAGTCCCAGCCAAAATACAATAGGTAGCGCTAAGAGTCAAATATCAAACAAATGAATAACAGCAAGACAAGAGCTGAATCATAAGCCACAGGTAAAGTAAAATCCAAAAAAATACACACACAACACAGAGAAATTAGTATTCAAGAGACCATAAAAAGAAAAGGAGGATAAGCACAGGTTATGGCTAAAAGGAAAGAGAGTAAATGTAAGTCATGTGGGCAGCTTTTATTTCTCAGAAAAGGCAGAGGCATGAATTAAAAAGCAAAGGCATTATTTTGTAAGGATGAACTTCAGCATACATATCTTATAATCAAACTAAACCTCTCCTAGATATATAAGCTACAGAAACTTACCAATGTGCACCAACAGATACGACTGAGAGTGTTCAAAGCAATGTCATTCATAAAAATAAGTAACTAGAAATAACCCAAATACCTATTTACAAGAGAATGGATATATTGTGTTATATGCGCATAATAGAATATTATATATCAGGGGAAATAAATGAACTGTAGCTACATGTAATAACATAAATGAATCTTAAAAGTATAATGCTGTGTGAAGAACATGAGGCATATAAATCCTGCTTCCACTTAAGCTATAGAAAGCTACAAGAAAATGTTGTTCCCATCCTAACAACAACAACAACAACAAGAACTAGATAATATGTAAGATCATAACTTTTATTGAACCTACTAGGGACCTGAAGTCATAAGTAAACCACAAGAATTGAATTTCCACAAAGGGTAACCCCCTCCAAGGACAGAAAAGACATGAAAATTATTTTGCCTTTGATAGAGCACAAGAAAAAATAGAGGGCCACTCCAGAAGAAGGTAAGTAGTTAGCTAAAATGTTAATAAATTCCGAAAGGCTAAATGTGGGCTAGTGTATAAATTTGGAATAACTGGGAGCCCTAGACGTAAGGCGGTTCATACTCACACACCAGCTCTTCTCCACTGGGTTCCAGCAGTGCTCTGGAGAAAGACTAGGGGCAGAACAGGAAATGAGAGTGAGCTCCCTGCAGTGGTGCAGGTGTGCAGAAGGTGAGTGACTTCTGCTTGGATTCAGGCACAAAACATCATACACTTCCCTGGGCCATCTCTTGCAAAAAGCAAAAACCTAAGCCACTTGGGGAAGGGCAGCAAATCCTCTGTTACCCAGGGTCACAGAAGAAATAGATGAAAAAACCATCTACCTCTGAAGAACAACTATGACATTCCCCTTTCTGCCACTGCACACTTTCTTGGGTAAGGCTAGAAACAAACGTGTCTTCCCCAAGACAGAGAAAAGAAAATCTTCATATCCCAGGATGCTGCATCAACACAAAGCAGAAACCTGCTACGCTGGGGTTGTGCCAGGAAATGCTTCTGCCTAGTACCTGCCACAAGTACAAGGTAGAGTTTGCTGGATACGTGTGGAATGGCAGGAACACTGAGAATGTCCTATCAACATGGCCCAGGTGCATAGGTTCTGGCTAAAGATAAGACTGGCCCAGAAGTACCAAAATATCTTCAAGTCCCACAGCAAACCTAGCAGCAAGTAACCAGTAATGACAGTCTACTCCCCAAGAAAGGGGCAAAAGTGTGGAGGGAGACAGACCCTTGCAACACAGGCATACTGGGGGTCCTGAAAGCCGAGGTAGAGTAGGAGCCCAGAG